CCTGTTTTCATATTTATGACATTGGGGGGCACATTAAATCTTAGTTTGAATTAAATCGATGACATATTTGTAGATTTAGGCAGCATGTGTTTTGAAGGCTTTGTAATATTAGTGCTTGCACCCTTAAATCTCACTTCGTTATTAATAACACTTTTCATCTTTTTTTAATAACACTTGTCAAAGCAATAAATTATTCATTAACCCTGAATCCTCCCTTAGGGACGGACCATTAGAAAAGTTATGGGGGGAGGGGGAATTTTCGAGCTGCAATAATTTTTTTCCGTTATCAAATTCTTTGCATGAATTTTATTTAAGCCATTGCATGAATTTTTTTTAGGGTTAATTGGCGTGCATGAATTTTTTTTCATTTAGTTTTCCCTTGCGCGAATATTTTTTTTGTTCGCCCGCCCCCCCCATAAGTTTTCTAATGGTCCGTCCCTTACCACTTGCGATCCCACTTGAAGTCATCACTTTAAACTGTCGTAGTCAGCTTTGACATCTAACAGGGTCTGGAAGGGGATGTCTGGATCTCGAATCACGGGTTAAATTTCCGTACATTCACGAATCACGTGATGAGGTGACGAAGTGATCAAAGCACCAATACGGAGTTTTAGCAACGACGACGGCGACGCCAACGAGAACGTCAAAAATGTATCCTATTTACTCCAATCTTGCACACGCTCCTGTCTTAATAATATAAGTGATGGAGAAGTCTGGCGGCCTCTTCCGGATGAGGGATAGAGGCGCGACATACTATGGGCTGGGATGAGGTGGGAAGAGAGAAAAACAAACCATCCGAAAGAGGTGCCATGAAGTGGAGAGCGGGCGAGGCGAGGTGCATGGCCCTAACAACAACCTGTGTGTCTTGTCACGAAGATGATAATGAATGCATGGTGTATGTGTCTTATATAGTCGCTTGGACAAAACCGCTGTGAATAGTCCCCATAACTAAATAAAAGTCAGGTAACAAACATTGGCCCTAAAACAACTTCTGCTCTGGAGCTACAAAACACATAGCAAACAAGACCAGGGCGTGAAAACTTAAGCGAAATTAAGCCCCTGGTTCCAATACACCCTCGACAGAGACAGGTAACAAAAATTGCCGTAAAACAACTTCTGCTCTGGAGCCACAAAACACAGTGTAAACAAGACCAGAGCGTGAAAACTTAAGCGAAATTAAGCTCCTGGTTCTAAATACACCCTCGACAGAGTCAGGTAACAAGAACTGGCCCTAAAACAACTTCTGCTCTGGAGCTACAAAACACATTGTAAACAAGACAAGCGCGTGAAAAATTTAGCGAAATTAAGCCCCTGGTTCCAATACACGCTCGATAGAGTCAAGTGACAAAAATTGGCCCTAAAACAACTTCTGCTCTGGAGCTACATAACACATTGTAAACAAGACCCTGGTTCCAATACACGCTCGATAGAGTCAGGTAACAAAAATTGCCCGTAAAACAACTTTTGCTCTGGAGCCACAAAGCAGATTTATTTAGAACAATTAAAAACCTGCGGGTATTGCTAAAAACAACAATGAAAGCATAAGCCAAACAATAGCTCAGATATGAAAATGTAGCAACTTATAATAACACATATCTCAAAAAGCCCAACGGGAATAGCAGCATGCTAGTAAAGCAAATTCATGCACTGACTCTGTATTGACTAGGAAGCACGAAGACTAAAGAGCGTATAACAAAAAAGGCATATATATGAAACGAAAAAACTGAAAACCCCTCATGAGGAAATAAGAAACCGAATATACTGCAAGAACTGAAAAACAACTGACTGCTATCCCACTAGAGCGCTCAATAAGATTTGAGAAAAACCGAAGCCAACGAATGTACCACTTGAAACGGGATCCATCAGAAGGAAATGTTGAAACTAGGGAATTGCAACCTGAGAGATAAAGTGGTACAGTGAGGACAATATACGGGGCTCGAGGGATAGCAGTCTTACGGGCCGGTAATCCGACAGGGAATTAGACTCCCTTATAAGACTGAAATCCGTGGAGCAGCTGCAAAAATAATAACAAGGAAAGCATTGAAAACAAACAAAGCCAAAGCAAAGAGTATAACTAAAAAAAATACTGCAAACAAAAAGGAAAAAGTACAGAAAATTCTGACCTTGAAAATGTAAGTGACCGGACCGAATGTCGAACACGTGGCAACTTATAAAGTCTAGGTTGCAAAACGATATATTTACCGTGAGCATAGCCCAAGAAATTGAGGAAGATGGAAATAAAAACAGGAGGCAGAAAGGAAGAGGCGAACGCCAATAAAGAAACAAGGGGAAAGGCGAAAGGGTGAGGGGGAGGGAGTTTGACGAGCACGTTTTATGAGGCGATGATTTGTCCTGTGTGTCTTGTCTCGAAGATGATAATGAATGCATGGTGTATGTGTATGCGTCACAGTGGATATATAATTCACGATTCACGAATGTATTTCATCAGTTTTCCCGATTCACGCTCTGTTTACCGGTCCATTCACCCGTGATCACGGGAAACCCCTTCCAGAATCTGATCTAACTGGTACAGGGGGAAAAGATCTTTAAAAATAACCATACCTGGATAGCCACGATACAAACAGGCCAGAGATATACGACATTTACGCAAAACCATGTAAAGTTGACCCAAAAACTCCAATGAAAATCTTGTTCCACTACCCATCTAACAGCATTCCTCAAACCTTTCTCGCCGATGTGAAGGCTAATTCTCAGTCAAAAAAGAGAGAGAAGACAAACGGGGCAAGAAAAGGGATAAAAGAAGAGGGGGGCGGGGGAAGATGAAAGTCGAGGGGGCATTGCAAAATTTTGCTTTCTGCTCATGCCCGAACGGTGCTTGTAAACAGTCTTTTGGCAAAGAAATTGGAAGTGTACTGAAATTAAGTCTAGATGAAGTCCGAGAGTTGAGTTCTGGTAGTAAGAAGTTCTTAAAATCAACTGAGTTCACCCTACAATGTTCACTAAATGAGAAAAAGAAAAAAAAACGAGTTCAAAAATCGAAAAACTTGTTGACTTCAAATTCATGTGATACTTAGTTCACGTGACCCGTTCTAGGTCACGTGGGGGACCCCCCTTTGGATTCCGTATAGAAAGTATTTGAATCGCATGTACAAATCTGTACTGATTAACTCTAATACAAATAAACTAGTGGATGAATTATTAAACATTCTAATTAACTTTTGGCACAAACACCTGCTAAGCTATAATAAGTATTTATTAACTTTTGATACAGATCACTTGTCATTGTTTCATTATTTTACAAGTATTGGGGGTGTAGCCAAATGCAATTGTCTACCTGAAAGATGGCAAAATTTAATAAAGACAACTGAAAAACAACATAAAAAACACAGCAGGGAGATACTAAACTGAAAGGAAATAAGAAATTGCTGATAGCAGGTGCAAACGCGTATTAAGCTGTGGTTTAACATAACAACACATTGCACTTTGCAATAGTTTAATTTCCACTAGTACTTGCTCCGTAGTATAATAAGTCAAAAACTGTCCTTCTTTATAGCACTTGCCGCACAAAGTCAATATAACCCACTCACAAAAGTAGCGATGCAATTTATAATTATAATTACAGCCTCCTCTGCAGGCTTAGCTCTGGCTTACCTCTGGTTTGTTTTTTAAGGGGAAGAGAGGAAACTGGGAGGGTATCAGAAGAGATCTAGAGGCGGAAATGAAGTCTCCTTATGTTGTCAGTCTGTCTTCTTTTCTTCACAACGTACTTGCCCTCTTAAAACACAGGAAAGCAATAGAAGTCTGCATAATAACAGGCTGGCCCACTTTGCAGTAATTGTCGCACTTCGTAGTACCTTGTGCGTTTGGGTTTCCAAATGTACCATCTATGATATTTTAAAGGGAATCTTACAGTCATTCTCTTAAGCTCTGAATTGCCAAAACGAGTGAGCCACTTTGCGTCACGTCATTTGTCCAATAAGTTTTAATTAAAATTAACTTTATTCGTCTACTAACATTTCAATTTTTGGACAATTAACGTAAATCTTCATCATCTGGTGAGCATTAGCGCGTTAAGAAAAACGTTTCTAGTTTAATTTTTTCTATTTTCTAGAAACAGGTTTCCTTTTCGAGGAACAGCTTTTCAAAGAAAACTCCCTCGTACAAAATTAATGTGGCTCAACAAAACACTGTTGACCGATCTTAATCTACAACATAGTCTCTGTCTACAATTAAAACACCTCGGAAAAAACATTTGGAACTTTTATTGACAAATTTTACACTTTTACGTTCATACAATAGAAAGGATACTAAAGCAGTAATAAATAAAACAATATTTGTTAAAATAAAAGCAGCGTAAAACAATATTATATAATTATATTTCTCGCAATTAATTATATCACAGTAAATAAAGATTTGCATTCTTTTCACAAGAAACTTAAAAACCCTCTTAAAAAATAAGGATAAAATATATTATTTTCTCACTGTAAAACAAAATTTGTCTGTGAAGAGACAACCGACTAGATTGCCTTATTGGTTACATAAAAATAAAATAAAACAAAACTTTGAAAGGGTTATAGCTCACTGTAAGTATTCGACCATTCGGCCATTTGGCCATTTCCGAGTTACAAAAATTCTGACTTTCAAAACGACGCTACAATAGGTGCAAAACCATTCTTGTGATTCGTTTTCATATCAATCAATGGCTTCGTACTTAGCCTGGCTTTGAAATAGAGGCTTGGTGCAACTCGGAAATATAAAAGAAGCAAGGGAGAATCAGCACAGATAAATTGACACTCTCACTAAACATATTGTCATATTCATTTCCTAATATTACTAGCTGTGGCGAAGAATAAAATAACAATCCTAAAAAGACCATTTTTTTTTTTCAGCTAAACCGTCGTTCATCTCTTATTATATGGGTTATAAGACCCAAATGAAGGCAAAGGAAGAGAGATACATCATGCGATATTTAATACGCTGATGACTCCCCAGTATATACATTATAAAATGTTACTCTAGAGGCTTTACCAACTTGTTTTTCATGTTTGTTGACTATCCATCTGTGTAGTTAAATCTCGTACTTTCTGCGCCCAGTACTCGCTACTCTGTTGAAGCTGAATCGAAAGCTAAAGAAAACGAGAACATAACAAATACTGTATTATTAATGTCCAATGCTGCTTGCTCTGTTTAATGAACAAACGAAGTAAAAAAAAAATCAAAACAGAATCGAGGCCTTCGTTTGGAGAAGTTTGGGAACGGACAATTTATTGAAAGAAAGGGGCCTGGAAACAATACAGTGAAGGGACACCTGGTCAGCGGGGTTGCTCCTTTGCACATGCTCAATTAGGTTCGTTGATTTGACATCCATTTTGAAAGTGTCCAACGGTTTTAGAAGTTTGCAGATCTTTCATATATTATGCTTCTTGATAGCATCACAGGACATCTTAAGGTTGTTACAAATATAATTATTATTGCACTATCAGCCTTTAGTAATCGATCACTTCTCAAGTGTGAAGCAACCCTATCGAGACGAGATACTCAGTAAGAATTGGAGACAGAAACATCGTGTGAAGCGCAAGCATTAAGGTGATTCCCTGGTTTTGCTCTGCGCATCTCTTACTGCGCATAACAAGATAGCCGCCGTAAAAAAGAGCATGTGAAGTAACATTATTTTAAAAAATGAAGTTAACTGAAGAGAAACGCTATTGCAATTTTTGCTTGCTCTTGTTTCTTGCTGAGGTGAGACTCATTGTGTTGGGAATGTGCATAACGTAAGCAGTACGCGTGTTGCTGAGTTCGACTTCCTCACGGAGAACTTCCATAGTGGATGTTTAACTTGTGCTTACTCACTTTGATTTTCATTTAAACCCTTTCTTTATCATATTGTGTCCTAAATGTGATATCTCGATGTAAATTCTGTAAAAACAGATTTTTAAATACTTTCTTCCCCCTTTCACATACATTCTATTTTGAAGCTCGCCCCAGTCCTCTCTCAAAAATCGGAGAAAATGCATTTGGTGCGCACTTTCTGCAGCTCTACCGCAAAAACGAGAACGGTGACCCCCATTTTTCATTTCATAATTTTAATAAGGACAGTGCTTTCTTTCGATGAGAAAAAAATTGGCACAAATCTATGTTCAGTTTTTTGGCAATTTTACTAAATTGTACGGATTGAGCTATCACGGGTCGAATAGCGCGTGTCCAATTTAATTCTATTTTGGAGCGTAAAGTAAAAACAAGGGCATTAAAAGGCATTTTTCTGGTACGTAAGTGGATAAACAATACATTAAAGTCAAATTCTGTGCGATACCACATGCATCATTGAAAAAATCTCTCCTTTTTGTCAAGTTTTGGGCTGCCCGCGGTTTTTGTAAAAGGGTCCTAAACAGCCGTATTTGTCAGCATTGTGACGTCAAAACGAGCACGGTGACCCTCACTTTTTATTACTTTTTTATCATCTTCTTGACTTGTTACATCAGTGTACCAAGTTTCATCTATAATCTATGTTAGGTTCTTTTACTAAGGAATCACCTTAACACTGGAATGTTCACATCACAGACCAGGACTGTATTACTAAGGCTCTTCGATACTCAAGATTTCGCTGAAAAGAGCAGATAGTAAGGCAAGGTAAATGGTCCTGGCTTGCCTTTTCTCTAACCTTTTAAGCTTAATTCCAAACTTGTTTATGAGGAGTTCCAATGACTGTGTCAAGTACTCAGTAACCGTTTAAAGTAAATTATAACTTAACAGGTGTATTTATTCGGCATAACCTTTCAATACTAAGCAAGCAACGAGACCATGACGATGAAGATGATAATGTAAAATTATGTTAAAACTTTGGGGGTCTGAAGGAGTAGCAATTCCTTGCTTTGTACTGGAAAATAGGAGTTTGGTCACTGGTACTGGAAATTACTAAAAGAAATGGAATTAAGAAAGAACATCTGTATAAAGTAAGATTACATGTAATGTGATACAAAAATTCTTATGAAAATTTTCAGACTATAGAGGAACTAATAAACAGAATAGAAAAGCGTTAACGAGTGTTGAATTTTCAAGTAGCAAAGATAATCTAGTCTGGTTCTATATTTTCATGCGTCAGTCAATAAGAAACCCAAGCTTCCCAATTCCCTGGGCAGTCATAGTGAATAAAACCTCTCTGCAATCCAGGTCATAAGCGGTGAATAATTTAACAGCATGCATGTATTTTGTGAAGCAGGTACAAAAGTTTATTTTTGATTTTAAATTACGTGGGTTATAACTTTAATGAACAGAGAATGAATAGACATTTTCAATGCATAGCTAATGCAGATCATGATTGAATTAGAATGTGTTTTCATGTAAGTGCCAACATAGTTGTTAACATCTTCACAGTTCCATACCTTTATCTGCAGTTCAAAGTGTGATTCATTTCATATATTACCATTCATTTCAATCTTTCAAAAATTTGCTGAATAAGGCAAAATTAAACACAATCGTGCAACAAACTTTACGGGAGCCGAGGGAATAGCACTGCACAAACCCGGCTTTTTTGAAGCAAAACACGCAAAACAAATTTCTGACTAAAGCGTAACAAAAGCGTGTAACTCGCTTTACGGGAGCCGAAGGAAAAGCACTGCACAAAATCGATGTTTGTGAGGCAAAGCACGCAAAAGAAAAATTACCGAATAAAGCAAAATTAAACACAAGCGTTCAACAAACTTTGTGGGAGCCAAGGGAATAGCACTGCACAAACCCGACGTTTGTGAGGCAAAACACGCAAAACATAAATTACTAACAACGAAAGCGTGCAACAAACTACGGGAACCGAAGCGAGAGCACTAAAACTTTAAGGGGGGCCGAGGGAAGAACACTGCACAAACCGCAGATAGCGAGGCAAAGTACGAATAACACCGCTACTGGATAAAACAAAAGCAAAACATTGACTTGTAAAAATCTTACAGGAGCCAAGGGAAGGGCAGCAGACAAACTGGGAGTATAGCCCAGTGAAACACAGGCGCGGGAAACTCAGTCATCCGCACTGTACTGGCGATTGGACTGTTTGAGGCAGAGCTGGAGCTTGTGTAGCATTGGCCGGGACGGGACCGGTTCGTCAGTCATCTTAATAAAACAAGAATCGGTTAATAGAGCGAATGGATTCTTATGCGAACTGGACAGAAATGAGATGCCGAGCTCTTATTTATAATCGCGTTGCAAGGGACTGGCGCGAATAGAGTCACTTTTAATAGCGGCATTATGCAAAAACGGAAAGCCCACCCTGCACTGCGAGTAGAGCCTCCTTGTTTATTTTTCTTGATTGACGAGGAGGAAAAGAGGATCTTCCTGAATTGCGTCAATCCTTTGAACCCAAACTTCTGAACAAGTCAATCTTGTTTTCTCTCGTCAAACTGGTCTTTTGATTGCAAGCGTCTGTTTATTGATCTGATAAACAGATGATCGTAGCTGGACTCGCTGTACCATTAGGAACACGGCTATTAGACCTGGGTTCGAAACTGTTTCCTAGCAATATACAGCGCAAGCTTAACAAAATCTTACTCGATTCTACATAGTCTTCTTAAATACGCCAAAATTGAGCAAGCAAAAGAAAGTTTCTGCTGGCTGGGTTAGGAAAGACCCTGGGCGCTTTCCATTTAGTCAAAATTTCCGGAATTTTCGGTTCGGAGGTAAATGGAACACGTTTCGTCGGTTCGTCCCACTGGAAAATTCCCAGGAAAAGTGGAAAATCTAAAAAGGTGGTCCCGTTTTCCCGGTTGGAATTTCCGAACGGAATGTCGTGTTCCATTGACGTTTCTTGCAGTTTGTACCAGTTCCAGGTCCACGGTCGGGCACCCGGCCACGTACCGGGGTTTACGACCAAATGGAACAACTTTTTACCAATCGGAAATTCCACTTTTGCCACCACCGAAATTTCCGGGTTTTTTTCGTAAATGGAAAGCGCCCCCTTTAACCTGTTCTGAGAAACATGAGGATATATGGAGTTCTTCGGTTACGGGGAAATGCCCCTACAACCTGATCAACGAACACACTACTATCGGGTGTTTCTAGATTTCTCTCGGCTTCAAAAAGTAGTGATGCAAACACTAGGTTAAGTTTAAGTGCTTGCATATAAGATGCGCGTATTTTAGGCATGCTGTTCATTCAAGAACAGTACCCGACCAGGAGGGTAGCTTCCTTTACGCAAATAAGCACGTGCGTACTAATAACTGATAACTGGGGAAAAACATGGGTATCTGAAACGGGGTAAAACACGGTGACCGGGACAAAGTGGGGTAAAATATGGGTGAACGGGGTGAAGTGCGGGTAGACATGGGCAAACGGGAAACGCCTGAATACACTGGTATAAAAACGGAAAACGGAGTAATAATAAAGCATAGCCAGACGGGGTAACACGTGGATAAACTGGTATAAACATGGTTAAACGGGGTAAACGTGGAAAAATGGCGTGGCTAAATTATTTTTCTCTTACAAATACTGTTAATCTTCGGCGGCTGTTGCAATTGCTACTTTTGATATATATTCGGCTGAAAATTCACAGGTTACCAAATTTTAATATGATCTTCCAGCATGTGCTAACAAAATTTTTCGAAATCGAACTGGGCCCAGTTGTTCGAACGCCGGTTAGTGCTAACCCGGGGTTAAATTTTAACCGGGCTTTCTTTTTCTTTTTTTATCAAAAGTACTCTCTCGGATAATTTTCTCTATTCTTTTTAGGATCATCAAATTGTAGGCAAAGAGAATTAAGAGCGAATGCACAGAAAAATCGAGTAAACCGTGGTCACAGCTCAAAACCTAACCTACCCTCATTTTAAGTCTGTAATAAGGTTTTAATGAATTTATAACACTACTGAGGTTTAAATTTCAAAATGCGGCCGAATTTGGGAATTATTTGAGATTTTCGATTTCAACGGTCAGCGGGCCTAAAATTAGCCGCCGAACACGGCAATATAGCCTAGCGACAGAAATGAGCTGACTTTCATAAACGAGCGAATATATTGGCAATCTTCCACTTAAATCTCAAAAAACAGATATTAACAATTTCTAAACAGCACATTTTTTTAGATTTAAAGAATAAAATATCGACGAACGAGCACAATTTTGAAACGTAATTTGCACAATGCTTATAAATACAACAATTTACCGCTAAAACCAAAATATTAAATCGAATTTTCTATATGGGGGAATTCTCCAAATCACCCCAAATCCCGCTTACTACCTAATGAGATATGGTACTTCAACATTATCTGAAAGTTATAGTCTGGTGTTCTTGCGAACGCTTATAAAATAGACTGATTATTTTGAGGTTATTTCGCCCCAAACAACCGCTAATTGACCCCAGGGTCAACTGACACGTGCTCGTCAACTTAGGGTGTGTTCCTTTCGGTGAATCCAAAAACGGATTTTAGATCTAAGAACGGATTTCGCGTTCCTTTCGGCAAATCCAAATCCGGATTTTTGATCTGGAGAATCCTTTTTGAAAAAGGATTCATTGGATTTGAAATCCGAAGAATCCAAATCCAGATTAACGGATTAGTGATCTACGCTGTTCCATTCACAGTGGATCCGAAATTAGTCAGATGATCCAGCGGTATTTCCAGTTGAAGTATTCCCACAGAGGCCGTAGAGTTGCTCGTTGCTGTCATTTGCCTCAAAACATCTGAAAACACTAGAAGATTGTTCCTGGTACAATAAAATATCCATATACTAACCATTTGTCTCTAAAGATTGCTTGAAATAAGAAATAAGTAAAAGTAACAAATGAACTGCTATCTAACTACAAACAGTACAAAACACATCATTTCTTGAGAGGCTGTCGTGCGTATTGCACGCGTTGGCGAAAGGTTACCAAGGTTACAAATCCAATTTCGGATTTCACGTTCCTTTCGACCGCGAAATCTGGCAAATCTAGGATCCAAAATCCGTTTTTGGATTCGCCGAAAGGAACACACCCTTAGTTTTATGCGTCGATTTGAGCTCGTTAAAACGGGAGAAACTAACAAGATTCTATTACTACGTACCTGTTTTGATGAAATACACGCAATCTTCAAAAGGAAAGGCCGTTCAATGGGTAATTTCTGTTCTTGAGATTTTGTAGATTGTACCATTGCGTCTGCGAGTGGACCTGAGTCTAGGTCTGTTTTCCCGTAGCTGCGAAATCAGAATAACATCATGAAATAATTCTCGCTCGAACCTTCGTAAATGAATCAGCTTTGCAGAGCCTTACCTGAGATAAAAAGTGGGCCGAATACGAAAACATTCTATAAGCGCAATTTGGATCCTTTGCAGCACGTAGTGTATTTGCTAAGCGGCGATGGTATCAATGACTTTTTTAAAATTAGTTACTAACCTCCGATTGCGTGATCAGGCAATTATCGATTGTCTCCTGCGAAAAATAAGTGCACGGGAAACCAAAGCTTTCGGGATACAGTAAATTCATTTTCCTGTATGACCAGGTATCCTTTAGTCCTTTTTTAAAGGCGGTTAACTAAGATGATTGGCAAACATACTGTCCCACTTTTAAAAATGGTACAGTAACTGAATGTTCTGTTCTTCTGATTTTACCCCCAACCACTACGCATGAAAGGCAGCTGGAAAGGCAAATGGATTAAATTTTAAGATTCAAGGCGGTTTTAAGGCATGGGTTACCAGTGGATTAGTCAGACTTGTCATAAGGTGCATTGAACAGAAAATTACAGGCATGATATCTCTGCTATTGTATGTCCATTAAGTGATTTTCCAGCAAACATTATTTTTTGACTTTTTTACCCCAAAAGTTTTTTCCGTTCAATTCTTATCTATGAGATCTAAACTTAGTTAAATTTCTGTAATTTGTTGTTAAATGCAATTCTGCAAACAACTAAGTATTTAATTTTGCGTAAAAGCTACATGAAATTGTACTGTTTAGCCGTAAATCATTAAAAAGAGAAAGCATCATGCTTTCTCTTTTCAAGTCTAGTAGGACTTAAGCAATGGCATTGCTTAAGTCCTAGTAGTTGTTCTCCATGTCTACTAAGGAGGAAAACTAAATAGTTTGCTCTTTTCAAGAAATTGTTCTTGCCCATTGCGGTTTCAAACCAAGGATAGCAGCAAGTCTGTCGTGGTCACATACTGCTACTTCAGTGCAAACGAAGCATAGGCGCACAAGTCAGCGCTTGCGTTTAGTCAGGTGCCGAAAATGAAGTGGAAACGTAACCCCAATGGCGTCCATGTTCGCCCCGGCTCGAAAAGGAAGAATCAGTTGTGCAGTAAAAAGTAATACGAAAAACCTGCGGGGGCTGGGGAAAGAAAGGCGTCTTATATTTCTTTGGCTTGTTCTATTTTCGCGACGTGGTACAGGCTACGAAATACTGACAAGCTCAGTATATGTCTTCACCACCGAGAGTCACTTGCCCTTAGCCGGACACTCCCCTCACGTATCATGTTTCGTTCCTAAAGTTATTTCAAAGCACAGAACCAAACCTAATCAGCGGCCGAAGGCATATTTTGCAAGAAACTAGTATCCTTGTGCCTATCGGCTCAGGAACGATTGATTACTACTATAATTA